CGGCTGGAGTTCAACCAGGCCATGGAGGACTTCAAAACCATGTTCCCCAACATGGACTACGACATCATCGAGTGCGTCTTGAGGGCCAACAACGGCGCCGTGGACGCCACCATCGACCAGCTCCTGCAGATGAACCTGGACAGCAGTGGCTGCGATGACAGCTCAGACTCGGAGGACAGCATCCCCCCTGAGGTAGTCTGCCGGTGGTCCCTGCACGTGGCTGTGGGGCCCCTGCCTGCACTTCTGGACACCATAGCTGGCTCGTCACGAGCGGGTGGCTCAGTCTCCTTCTGCCTTGTTTCTGCCTGTGCATGGTGCTACTGAGCTGCAGTGGTTGGGCAGAGATTTGAGCACCCAATTAAGCTGATCCGGAGTGTGCAGCCTGGCTGGTTTGTCTTGGACAGTGCTTGAGGCTCAAGCCAACCTGTTCTCCTCCCTTCTTCCCACCCCAAAAGCCAACACAGACCCCTTTGCTGCTGTCAGAGGATCCCTGAGGACTGTGTGCACCCAGAAATCCACCCACTCTCACCCTGGCCTCTCTCCCTGCAGATCTTGGAGCGGACCCTGGAGCCGGACAGCTCGGATGAGGAGCCCCCTCCTGTCTACTCCCCTCCTGCCTACGAGAGCCAGGCTTTCAGCAACTGCTACCCATGTGCACCTCCCACCCCCCCACCCAGGTGAGCCCCCAGCCCTGTGGCTGCACCGTGCCAGTGCCCAAGGGGATCTTGCTATACATTTGATGGCCCTGGCAAGGGGCATCTGGCCTCAGTTCATTAGGGCTGGGTGAGATGAAGCCAAGGGAGATGAATGAAGCTCACAGATGTCTAAAAAATCCCTGCGAGGCCCTAAAAAGTGAACAGCTGAAGGGCCCAGAAAGCTGCTCTGACAGCACATGGAATGGCAAAAATCAGCTACTGGAGGCAGGGAGTGCTCGCCTTTGCTCAAAAACACCAGGTGCTGGGCAGCCAGGGCCCTGTGCGTCGTGGCTCTTGGTGTCGGAGACCTTGGGTCTTGCTGCCGCTGGGTTGTGGAGTCTCCGGGGTCCAAGAGTCTTGGGGGTCCTCAAGCTGTAGGTTTGGGGCTTGCAGGAGAGGAAGCTCTGGTGCCCTGTCTGCCTCTGTGCCAGTCACCCCGGACGAAGGCGCTGCCAGCTGGGCAAGCTGGGTGTGACATCTGGTGAGAGACCTTCATCAGCTTCGTAAGCAAAATCCTGCATTGCTAGGGCTCCCGCAGGGCTGTTTTCTGGGAGTCTGGGCAAAGCGGGGAGGAGGAGGGAAATCCAGCTGTGCAGTTGTGGGGCAAGGCTTGAACAGCTGCTCCTGAAGATTTCAAACTGGCTGAGAAAGCCTTTTGCTCCCCAGTGTGGGCGCTGTGGGTCCGGGAGGTGTGCTGTGGTTTGTTGGTTCCCAGGACTGCAGATGTTGGTGAGTTTCTCCCTCGCCGAAGGTGCTCTCTGTGCTTGTCCCACAGGACAGATGTGCCGGGGCCTGGCAGCACCCCAGCACCTGGGCGCTACAGGAACTGGAACCCACCACTCCTGGGCAACCTCCCCGAGGACTTCCTCCGCATCCTGCCCCAGCAGACCACTGGCACACAGGTGAGGCGCTTTGGGGTTGGCTCACAGACAGCAGCCACTGGCCGTACACCAGCAAAAACACGACAAGGGAGGGGTAAGCCTCAGGAACCAAGACGAGCCGCCATCACAAAGCAGATGGGAAGGAAAGAGAAGGGGTTGAAAGGGGTCGTACCCTGCAAACTCCCCAATTTATAGTGAGTGTGACTTTTGTGGGATAGAATACATTTTTATTGGTCTGCTTGGATCACACACAGATCATCTGTACTGGGTCACCTGTCCCAGGAAATCCCAGGCTTTCACTTCCCCTCATCCTCCTGTGCAGAGAGAATTAAAAAAAAACCCAAGAGAAACTATGAACACACGTTTAAACAGAGACTGGAAAACAGATCTTGAGGTAATATAAACATCTGCTGGTGTTATCAGCATCCCTCTTAGCATAAATCCAAAACAAATTCTCACCAGCTACTATGAGGAAAATAACTGTTCCAGCAAAACCAGGACATAGAGTGAAAGTGGTGTTGGTGAATTCTGGAGTTGGCAGGTTGGTAGGGAGGGAGTTCTAGATCATGGTCTAATCTATGGCTTTTCTGGCTCTAGATCATGTTCTAGATCATGTTCTAGATAGTGTTGGGGCTAAATTGGGGTCTAGGTCACTAGGTTCTAGATTGGCTTCTGGATCCGGTTCTAGATTGGGTCCCAGGTCAGCATGCAGTTCTGGAGCAGGGTTGGGGACTGGGTGGAGAGGTCCTAGAATCTATTCCAGGGGCTACTCCTGTTTTTTCATCTCATGGAGACTTGGGGTACTTGCTGATGGCAGCAGTCTTGCTGGGGTCTTCTCTTTGTTGTTTTATTTTTTATTTTCTGGCATGCTTTTTTTCTTCTCTGTGGCTCCATTTCACATCAAAACTCTAGCAATGAGGAGCAGGCAATCGCTACGTTCAGTCTGCCTTACTGGGGAGGAGGATGAGTGGGGCCAGGGTGAGAATCCTCCTGGTCTGATCACAAAGAAGAGCAGTACCTTCTGACTTGACTGAGATTAAAACCATGCCCCAACTTCCATTCTGGGAGCGTTGCTGGAAAAAATGGAAATGTGAAGCAGAGAGCTCGACCCAAATTCAATTCTTGAGAAGTGAAACCCTACCCCAGCTGCATGAGCCAACCCTACCATGTGCTGCTCTGAAACAGTAAAAGTATGTAAAGTCCATGGGAAAGGGTAAAAACTTCAACGTCAAGCCTCCCAGACTCTCTTGAAACCCGGACATGCTGACAGTGAACTCACAGTGAATTTCACGCAAACTTTCCCAGTATCTTTCCCAATATCTACAGAAAGTACATACAGGCAGTGGTACGAAAGGATCATTTGAGGATTAAACAAACTAAACTTTTCAAACTAAAACATTTTCAAACCGCTGGAAGAAGCCACCATCCAAAGGCAATTCACACCTTTTTTGGAACAGGACTTGCAGAGCCCAGTCCAAGGCCCAACCTTGTGTGAGCAGCAAAACCTCCCACTGCTTCTCCCCACCGTGGAGCTAGGAGGACTGGATGGTGGAAAAGTGTCCAAAGACTTTCAGAGCTGACCCCTAAACACGGCAATCACTGACTGAAGGATGCAATAAACAACACAGCAGATGACACATCAACAAGACATTTAAAATACTAATTCTATCCCAGGAAAAGTGCTTGGGCAGGCCACAGTTTGGGTAGGCAGGGAAATCCAACCTCCAAGGACACCAGTGATGGTTCTGCAACTCTTGCAGGACCTGGATATCATACACAGCCCCCAGACTTGCCGTCTGCTGAGGGCAGTGAGCGCTTACGGGGATTTCACTGAAGGATTAGAGTCTTGGCATGACACATGACTGCTGATTGTGTGGAGGGTCACTGCAAAGCTGCGTAGAGGAGACTTAGAAATAATTTGAAAAAGCAGCACCAGCAACAACAAGAACCAGAGAATGTTTTGGCTTTGATGTCATCTGCACAATGTGGAAATACTGAGTCGCGTATTCCTCAGCCGGAACTGAAGTTCGCTGTTGAACTTCGCCAAAATGGCACAGAAAAACACTCCATTATTTGGCACTTTCTTTTGTTATGTGTTCAGCTCCTGAAAGAATGCATTTTGGGAGCAGAACTGTGCACTGATTACTTCAAAAAGTAAAGTTGCTCTGCTTAGTTCTGCAACCTGAGAGTAGCAAATGAAACTGTCAGCCGTGCATTCTTAAATGAACGTTTTCAGTTCAACATCTGGATTAAGATGCCACAATGAAAAACAGCACGCAGGCTCTTCTCTGCTCCTTTCATACCTCTCCCATTCTTATGTTTCAGAACCAGCGAGTTTCAAAGCAAACAAAGAATCAGTTGGTGCTGCTAATGCTTTGCTTCTTACTCAATAGCCCTATGTCATGAACAGACCATATTTTTCAAATCTACATCTCCAAGAGCCAAAGATTGCCCTGGAAGTTGAGCTTCGTGGGTTATATTACCTTTCTGGGAATAGGGATGTGCCAATTCATTTGGGCTCAGGGGGAGGAGAGGAGCAGCTGCCCTTTTCTTTCCCCGGTAATTGTGTGCTTTTTCTTTTTATGGCTCTCTGAGCACAGCTACAAATCAGATAAATATGGTAGCAAGGATGAAGTTGCAGCTGTACGGCATAGCTCGGCTGCTCCCCAGGTGCCGCCGCACAGGGAGCCGAGAATGAGTGTGAGGTGCCTTGCGCAGGGACGTTTGTCAGCGGGAAAGTGCAGTCTCTGCTTTTTATGACGGGAAAATAAGAGCAGTGAGGTTGGCTGAGCCCCCTCTGCCTCACCTCCGCACCAGGTTCTGTCTTGGCTCAACCCTATGGTTTTAAATTAATAACCGTGCAGAGGAGGCACTGGTTCCTCCCCGTGCTGTGCTGACCGAGAGGTCCCCGTTCCCACGTGGGGTGTCCATCCCCTCCTGCCTCTGCCCTGTCCCCCTTTGTCCCCATCATCCAGGGGGGACGGTGCCCCCGGCTGTCGGTTGCTGGGTGCAGGAGGGAGGGACCCCGCTAGGGAGCAGCAGTCGATGGCCATCAGGGCTGGGGGCACAGCCGTGTAACGGAGCAAAAGGCCAGAGAAGCCTCCTGGATAAAGTGGCGCGGGCACTGAGACCACCGACCAACCTGTGCCCATGTTTGCCTCCTGCCCAGGGCTCCCCCAGCTGCCAGCAGCCCATGCCACGGGGGCTCACCCCACGGGGCCAGGGCTCCCTGGAGCAGGAGCGGCGGTGGAAGCAGTACCTGGAGGATGAGCGGATCGCGCTATTCCTGCAAAACGAAGAGTTCATGAAGGAGCTCCAGAGAAACCGAGATTTCCTCCTCGCCCTGGAGAGAGGTGAGAAGCGCCTTCAGAAACATCAGCCTCTGTTTTTTGGGTGTGTACATCCCCCTGTGATGCTGGCCAGTGGCAGTGGTGCCCTGTCTGCAGCACTGTGGCTCGTGCCAAAGCAGAGCCGGTGCAGGATGCGGCCAGGCTGGGGTGGGTGGTTTGACCTGCTGACACCAGGCAGAGGGCTGCTCCCCCAGCTCCTGCTTCCCAGGCTCTCTTCCCTCTGCCCGCTTCCTGTGGCGTCTCTGGCAAAACCCAGCAAAATCCATAGTGGGGAGCTTCAGAAATGTCCTCTGAGCCCAACCCGGCCAGTGTGCCCTCCCCGGTGCTGGCAGGGCCTGACCTGGAGAGCAGTTTGGCCATGATTGCTACAACCTCATCTCCAAGCCCCCCCGTTTTGCAGCGTCCTGGCAGCCCCCTCACTGCAGGGCTTACCCACAGCCGCCACAGCTGGAAAACCACCGGCGCACTTGTGGTGAGCTCGTGGTTCCTCTGTGGTGGGAAGAGGAGGGCCCCCGCCTGCGGCTGCGGGCTCTCCCCGAAGCGCTTGTGGTCACCGTGCTGAAGTGAAGGGCTTTCAGTGCCGGGGCGGTGGAGGCACTGGGTGAAAGCTGCCTTCCTCCTGTGCTCGGCCCTGGCCCTGCTTCTGCCACGCTGAGCATGCCAAGCCCACCTGGGCACAGAAGATGGCATCCTTATTTCCCAGCTGTGGCAGGGGAGATGTTTGTTGTCTCAGAAGTGTGTCCTTAGGGAGTGGCACATCTCTGGAGAGCTTTTATAGCTTTTTGGTAGATCGTTTCTACCTGGAGTGTGGCACATCTTGTCCTGCTGCAGGGTGTACCTTGGCAGGAGGTGCTTCCATGGTACCTGCAGCACAGCTGCACAGAAACTGCCTTGCTGGGCTGGGTCAGGCTGTTCCTGCAGCAGCTGTGGTACACCGGGAAGCCCAAGCTCCCTCCCTTGCTGTCAGCCTGTCCCTCCGCAGCCATGGGGGTGTGAGCAGAGAGGGGGAGCAGAGCCATGTGCGCTGCCTCAGAGGTCGATTGAGCGGGGCACTGGGCTTTTTGTTTTTCAGATCGATTGAAATACGAGTCAAAAAAATCCAAGTCGACCAGCGCTGCTGTCAGCAATGACTTTGGTTTCTCCTCCATAATATCAGGTAACTTTCAAGATGCGCACGAGCATCACCTCGCAGCAGCTCCTGTGTTCCCATCCCTCTGCCACTGCTGTGGGTGGAGGAAACTGGCTGATCCTTCCCTGCTACCCCCCAGCACGCGAGAGGAGCTGGTGGGTGACGGGGATGGGTGCTGCTGGTCCTCCTGTGCCCTGCCTCTGTCCATTGCTGCGGGTGGGAGCTGTGCTCCAGTTCCCAGAGGAGACAAAGCCCTCCCTTGTCTTGGCCGGGGCAGAGGATCGTGCCTGGAAGCCATAATGGCTGTTCCTGGGTAATCCTGATTAACCTCTGGGAGTGGAGCAGCTGCCTGGGTTCAGAATTAGAACTGGTGTCCGTCCGTGTCCCCGTGCAGGGGCGAGCAAGATGCACTGGCTGAGCAGGGGGGGGGGGCTCTGGCTGGCCAGAGCTGGGGAAGGGGCATGGGCCAAGGGGAGGGGGCACAAGGACATGGCTGGTGCAGTCTGGTCTGGACTGAGTCGCTGGGATGCCTCAACTTCTGCTTCTGATCCAGTGGCCCTGCTACCCAAGTATGGAGCATGGGTATGATCTAATAGCCAGAGTTTAGTTAGTGTCCGGGGTAATTTGGGGCTGGAGCAGCACAGAGGGAGGGCCCTACTCTACAGTGGCGCTGGTGGTGGTGTCCATGTCAACTCACAGGGGATTCAAGATGAGCAACCCCACAGGGCTGAGGGTGAGCTGCACCCCGATGTCTGTGCACCCACAGTCACATGGGTTGTATCTGCAGAGGGTCCTTGCCCGGAGCCAGCCCTGGCACCCTCGTCCTGCCTGCTCCTGCTCAGCTCTGCTTGTGGCAGGGCTGTGCTTTGCTAACACTGGAATTGGGTCATGGAAATGAGTCGTTTTGAGCTTCCCCTCATTGCGCAAGCACTCCTGGTGACCAGATGTTTGCCTTCCAGGTGACGTAGCCCCCTCTGTAACCAGTGAGGCCGGCAGTGCTGTATCTGACGATGCCTTATTCAGAGACAAATTGAAACACATGGGAAAATGTGAGTCGGTTAGCAGGCTCCGTGCTGGCAGTGGGAAGCCTGCGAGGGGCTGGAGGGGAGGTGGGAGCAGGGCGGGCAGGGGAAGAGCCGACATCGTTGCCTGATGCTCCCCGCTCATGCAGCGTCTCCGCACTGCGTGTGCATGCATGGCAGACGGCACACGCATGTCTGCTGGCACATGTGTGAGGGTTCCTTGTCGCCTCTCCTGGCAGCTGGGCACACACGTCCCCACCACCCCACCGGTCACACAGAGGGCTGGCATGTCAGCACGCAGAGCGCGGGCCATCACACACTGTGGTGGCACGTTGCGCTATGATGGTGCTCAGCCATGTTTTGGAGTTAAGTTTCCACCTGCGTTTTACAGTGCTGGGCTGGTGCATCCCTGCCCCATGGTGCTGTCCTGGCCCTCACCGGTGCAGGGAGCTCCTGTGCTGCTCACCAGGGCTGAGCACCAGCACAATGGACAGGAGATGAAGACCTGGGTCTTGGTACTCCAGCTCTGCACTGCCTGTCTGTCCCCAGTGCACGCATGGGTTGTGGTACAAGCCAAGGATGCAGGTGGTTTTGGGGAACAGAGGAGTTTCTGGGCAGGGTTTGCGTGACTCCTAGAAAAGCAAGCAGAGGGTTTGCTCCAGCTCTCCCTTTTCCAATCCTTTCCTCTTAGCGAGGCACAGCCTGCTTCTCCCATAGATCAAAGTCTTTGGGCAGCTTGGGTTGGGCTGCAGGATGCTGAGACACTGGAGAGATGGGAGTCAGTTGTGAGGAGAGAAGGTTATGAAAATGCCAGTGAAAGGGTAAAAACGTCAGTGCTCCCTGCCAGGGACCAGCGTGTCCCTGTTGGTCGCAGGACTCATCTCTCCGAGCCTGGCAGCCTTGTGTGGCCCCACTGTTTCCAGGCAAAGCCAGGGTATTGCTGTGGGGCATCGGGGCAAAGGTGGCTCTTGCATCACTGGCCCTGGCCATCTCCTTCCCATCACCCGTGGCAGCTTTGGGAAGGATTTTGGGGTGAGACCCTCACTCAGCTGCTTCCTTCCAGCAACGCGCAAGAAGCTGTTTGAACTCGCCAGAGCCTTCTCCGAGAAGACAAAGATGAGGAAATCGAAAAGAAAACACTTGTTGAAGCACCAGGTGTATCCTAAAAGGGGCTGGGGAGCTGCGGGGTGGGGTACAGAGCTGTTGGAGCAGCCTGGCTGGGGTGTTCCCAAGGTCTCCCCAAGGCCATGGGCTGGCCAGGAGCCTCCCACTGCCTCTCACAGCTGGGCTGTGGGCTGGGAAGGGCGATCGTGGTGGCGATGTCCCGGTCCCACAGCTGTTTTTCCTTAGTGGAGGACATAGGATGGGGACAGCAGCTTCCACGGCCAATCTTCTCGATGACGTTGAAGGACATTCATGCGGTAAGAAATGCTGTGCCATGTGCTGTGCTCAGCGTGGTTACCCAGGGTCCCGCGGTGCTAGGCTCCATTCTGTCCCACGACATTGTCCTGCCAGAGCGGGCTCCAGCTGGGGGATGGCCGCCTGTGCAATGGGCTCGCCTCTGGCCCCACGTGGCTCTCCTGTGAGTGGGCACTTTGACAGGGTGACTGGAGACAGGGATCTCTTTTAGGGACTGTCGTGGTTTAGGGCTGGGCTGGGCACTAAATCCTGGACAGATGCTCTCTGTTAACCTCTCTCCCCTCCCCAGGAGGGAAGAGAAAAGAGAATAAGGGAGAGAGACCTTACGGGTTGGAAAATAAAACTAACAGGTTCAATGAAACAATAATACTGATAATACAGGATAATAATGTAAATAGGAAAATAATTAAATATATGCAGATATGTACAAATATATACACAAAACCACTATAAAATCCTCCCCCCACCCTCCCCCAATGACGATGGTGTCACCAGAGGCTCTGCAGAGCCAGGCACTGGAAAAGTCCCAGTCTGGACTCAGCAGCAGTGGCAGCAGATGCAGAACACACGCATCAGGATCAGAGGCAGACAAACAAGCAGGATTTTGCTCAAACTTTGGCCATTGAACGGGTCAAGACAGAAGAACGGGTCCAAGATGGAAGGGTAGAGACCCTCATAATCCCTCGGCTTTATACTGAGTATGATGTATGTGAGCTAGAATACCTAGTTGGTCAGTTTTGGGTCCGCTCCCCGCCCTGTAGGCAATGGTGAGACAGTGGCTTTGTGATTATCAGTTGTAGCAGTACACACTGTCTGCAAAAACACGCTGCTAGTTTCAGCAAGTTCAGCCACTTAGAAGAGACTGAGCTGAAGAGTAAAATCACTGAATAGAAAATTAGTTCTATTTAGCTCAAACCAGGACAGGGGCTCATGGGGGCTTGCAGCTGGGATGTGCAGCTCGGGTCAGGGCACAGTCCTGGCAAATCTGTTGTCAGATGGATTTGCACAGAGGTGGCTCCTGGCAGTGCATTTTGGGCCAGCCCCAACCCCCCCGGGGCTGTATCAGCTGCGACCATGTGGCAGAAATGCCGCCGTGGGCCCAAACCTCCTTCCAGTGTCTTCAGGCGTGTTCTGGCAGAGAGTCCCTGTGCCTCAGTCTGTGGGGATTCTCTGGGCAAGGAAATTCCAGTCCTGGGCATCCTCCCCACTGTGGCTAGGACCACGGTACGGTGGCCTATGTCCAGCAGCTGCAGCCCCCGACACCCCCTGCCTGCCTCTGCCTTTCAGATGAAGACTTCCAAGCACGGAGGCAGCAGCTCCGGGAGGAGGAGGAGCCGCCGAAGGAAGGGCGGTAAACGGTGAGAGGCACCTGGGGATGAACGCTTCCCAGTGAGCACGCAAACGGCCCTGTCCATCCATCCGTCCTGGCTGGAGGAGGGAGCTGGGTGCTCTGGGTCAGGTCCAGAGCGTGTCCGGGTGGGGACAAGCCCAATTAGTGGCTGTGGATGCCGTGGCTGGTAACAGCCCCGGTGCTGGTGCTGGTCACAGTGTGACGGGGGCTGACCATGCGCCGTTCTCCTTCCCGCCCCTTCTCCTCCTCACCAGGTCCCAGCGCTGGGGTTTCTTGCTGGCACAGAATGTGCACAGGGCTTCGTAAGAAGATGGCTGAAAAAGGAAAAAAAATCACCCAACAAATAACCAAGTTTTTTGGCTGTTCCCCCTTCTGCTGTTGTACTCCTCTGAAGTACAAGTATTGAAGCGAGGCACAGTGTTTTCTTACCAGCGGTTTGAAAACAGCTTCTATCTAGCAAATCAGCCAAAAAGGAAAAAAACAAAAAAAAAAGGAAAAAAAAGCCAGCAGCTGCTGCAAGCTGCTGTGGAGGAGCCAGTGGAGCTCAGATTTGGGAGGAGCAGCGTCCTGCCTGCTCTCTGAGTTCAAGTGGTGGTGCAGAAGGAATGAAAATCAGTTGTACTAACGAGGATGCGTTCACACGTGGGATCTGCTTGGCCGAAGCGCTCCTGAACATATCTCTGTAGTGATCTGATGTAACTTCACTCTGCGCACACGGGGAAAAAAAAGACCGGACGTGTGAGAAAGAAAACCTAACAGCTGTTGTCTACTATTGTTAGGAGTAACGAGCAGAGATTCAGATCAGGTAATAGTCGAATAATATATATTGTTTATAAAAGGAAAGGCCTTCTTTTCCTAGGCGTTTCACTTTGGATTAAACCTTTGCCTTCGGCATTGCTAAAACTGCCTTGAAGTCCGGACGCTTTGTGGGCCGCGGCGTGGCTCACCTCCGGCCGGGCCGGTGCGGCCGGGCAGCACCAAGGGCTGGATTTCACATCAGTGTAACCCTCACGGCTGAAGCAAGACGCATCCTGGCACATGCGGTGGTCCCGGCTGCGAGGCAGGGCACTCGGCGGCTCCGGGGATGCCCCCCACCGTAGGTAAGATGCAAAATCCCGAGCTGGGGTGTTTGCAGCTGAGGCGTTTTTGGCACAGAGAGTTTGCACAAGGGCTTGCGAGCGCTGCCAGGTTTGGTGCCCGGTGGCAGGAGCAAAGGACCCTTCCTTGCGCCTGCCACGGGGGCTCGTTTCGCCAGGGAGCGCGGCGGAGGGCTGGGGGGGCTGGCAGGCAGTGCTTGAATCACTGCAGCTTTCAGAGATGCTGTCACACTAAAAATAATTACGTGAACAAATTCCTTCCCTGTGTAAGTAATGAGTGACGAGCGTAAAGTCAGAAATCGCTCCCGCCAGCACATTTTCTCCTCCTTTATCGGCATAATCTGTTTGCTGCTAAATGCAGGAGGTGGCTGCAGACGTGCCTGTTTCACTTTCTGGCTCCTGCGAACCAGCCCAAATGTTGCAAGATGGGAGCTGCGAAGGTGGCAGACGCAGAAACCCCAGCCATCAAACATGCACGCAACTGTTTTCCCTGCCTCTCAGCGGGGTTTGGTAACAAAAGCCCACATTGCAGGCACTGGCTCCCAACAGGCTCCTTTTCAAACCCTCCCAGAGCCCGCGTGCCTTTGAAGCGGATGCCAAGATTTCTTTCCCTGGCAGCGGCGCAGCCGGTGGCACCTGTCGAGTGTCACTGCCATCGCCCCCGCCGCAGGGATGATGGGGACCCGTATGCTTTGCCCCCTCCCCAACCCCTTGCTGGGGCTGCTGGGGGTGCGGGTAATGTCCCAATAGCGCAGATGAGGCGCTCCTGGCAGCACTGGGGCTCGGCCAAAGCCTGGGGTGCCGAGGATGAGGGCAGGATGCACCAGGAAGCGCCCCAGGACCGCAGTGAGCTTTGCGTTCCTAAAATCAAAGCAGGAGAAGACCCCGCCACACCGAGCTGGTCCCAGCTTTGGTGTCTGCTCCTTTTCTTGTGAAGGAAGGAGAGGAGCATCCCTTGGGTCATGGCAGCCCCGTCGATGGGTCAGAGCTGTCCCGAGCCACACAGGAAGCCCTCCAGCTCCGTGCGGCTAAGACTGGCATCTGGAGTGCCGGGTGTCCCTGCCTGGCTTGGGGTGCAAGGGGCTAAGTGTGAAGCTGGGGCTGGGAGCAGGAGGTCCTTTAGTTGCTGGGTGGGACTTTTCTTCTCGGCAAAGAGAGAGGAGGGACTCCTTCCCTACCCTCCGCTGGCTCTGGGGTCCACGGGAGGCTGCCATTACTCCCTCTCAGTCCAAAGCAGCTTCTCTGCATATTTGGAAGAAAATCAAGCCTGGAATGGGATCAGCTTGTCAATGTTCCAGCGCCTCTGAGCTACCAAGGGCTTAACTTTCAGTGAAGTTTCCATGAACGCAGGAAGCACCGACGGGCAGCTGGGCAGGAGCTCAGGCTCTTGCGGGAAGGAAATTCTGCTTCTCCCAGCCGAGGAAGATACACAGGGCTGGTCTGGCACGGGGAGGAGACGCCACAAAGCACTTGTGCCCATGCCGTTGCAGCTTGCCTTCTCTCCTGCCGAACCCTCAGAGGGTTTGCTGCTCTCCTCATCCTTGCTGGTGATGGGCTGCGTTGTGCTGTGGCTGCGGAGGGTCACGCCGAGCTCTTTTTGGCCGTCTGTGGTGCTGGGTGAGCTGCGTTTCGCATCGTGTCACAGGTCAGTCCTGCTGGAACTGCTGGCTTTGACAGCATCAAGTGGTAAATGCAGCTGTTCCTGCTCTCCACTGTCTGCTCAGCCTGCACATTAGCTAACAGCTCGCCTCGGGGTCGTCTTTGAGCCATAGTTTGTTGGTGGAGAGGAGCCAGGAGGCAGCGGGGCTGCCTCTGCTTCACTCTGGGCCGGTCTGGCCGAGCACGTCCTGAGGTGTCCAGCGTCCTCTGTTCCCTGTGGGTCCCACAGTCCTGTGAGAAAAGGGGGAGAGAACGGGCAGCTGGGGAGCTGTGAACGGAGCACAGGGGTCGTGGGGAGGGGATGGATCAACCTCCACCCTTGCTGGCTCTGCCGACCCTGGCAGCAAAGGTTTTGGGTTGGGTGGGTCTGGCAACACATGCCAACCACGCAGGGTCCTGCGCTGGACGCGGGTGCCATGGCTGTAAGTGCAGAGGGTGGGCAGCGGGTGCTTTGCAGGGGCTCAGGGGCATCTGCTAACCTGGTCTAACAGCCCGCCCTTAAGATATCTTAGGCAAGGCGCAGTCTCTCTGAATGATGTCACCCTGTAGCCATTTCAAAATATCTCAGAGGCACAAAGCATTGTTTTAATGGAGGATGAAAATTGATTATTTTTATGTCCTTTAAAGGAAAAAAAAATTCAGGTCTAATGAGTAGAGAGGCCACTGAAACTGGCTTGGAAGCCAAAATGCATTTCTTACATAAAATTGTATAATTCTCAGTGACGTTTGTATCACTTCTCTACAAAATGGTTTAAAAAGAACAAAACAACAATCTGTGACATTTGTGAGTGTTGCTATTTTAGAATTTATTTCCACAAGTGATTTTTTTCTTAAAGATGTTTAATAGTAATTCATATAATAAAGTCCTGTTGTACTCTTATCGCTCTGGTGTATTTTGCTTTTTCCTGACATTTCTTTACAGAGGGGAAAAAGAAAGAGATTGGGGCAGAGAGGGAAATGCCAGCTCTTGCTGTGCCCCTCATGGCTGCAGATGCCCAAAAGCTGCCCTGGCTCAGTGCCTCCCCACTTGTGTTGGTGCAGAATTCACATCATCTGATTTTCTTGGGAAAGTGAGCGCCGTGGGAGACCCGTCCCTGGTGAGCTCCTGTCTCCATCCAGAAGCAATTTCCGCTTCCAGCCGGAATGATGCTTGGTGCAGAGCAGGTTCCCTCCTGTTGTGGGAGAGTGCATGAAGACCACTGGGAGCTCACGGTGAGCGAGTGGCAGGAGATGCCCAGGACTCAGCGAAAGCCCTGGCACGGTGGAGGATGCTTTGGGGATGTCCTGTCCCTGTTCTTCCTCATTTCATCTTGGGAGGTAAAGCAACACCAGCCCAAAGCACAGTGGGGCACCCGCTGCTCCCCTCTGCCGTCCCCATGCTGAGCTTTCAGCTGGGGTCCAACTGACTACCGGGGTCAGGAGTGGCCAGGGTGGGCTCTGCGACACGGATACCTGTGGCCAGCCACTCGTGTGGGGACCTGCCTTTCAGGAAAAAGCGGAAAAAGAAAAATGCTGTGGCTTACCCACTTCGTTCTGAAAATAACAAGCCTCTCGGGGACGGGGCATGTGAGTTTTCTTTAAACTGTTTCATTAGCACAGCAACTCCTCCGCGTCTGTCAAACAGGCAGTCTGGCTCCTTCGCGTTGTCTCCTGGCGGGATGGAAATACGTTATTATCATGAATTATTTCTGAAATATGTGTTGTTCATCTCCAGCCCTGCGCGTTTCCGCACTGTGCTGAGCTGGCGAGATCACTGGCTCTGCAAAGTTGGAGAGTGTGGAGCTGGACGGTGTTGGCGGAGTCGCTGCTCCCAGCACCACTCCCATAGGGAATTGCCTGCTCGGTGCCGGGCTTGGCTTCCCCTTCCTTTCATGTTCCCTGTAACTGGAGGGAAAAAGGCTGGAGGAGGAAAACTTTCAGTGAAAAACTCCTTGGAGGCTCAAAAAGCAGCATATGGCCCCCCCAGGTGAGAAAGAGTCTTTGCCAGGGAAGGATGGGTGCCCATCAAGCCCCACTTACAGGATCTGTCCCCCTATGTCCCCAGCCAGCATTCAAAACCTCAATCCCAAGCTCTTAATTTTGCACAACAGTAGGACTTTGGCCTGCCCAGGCTGTGGTGCCCATGAGGAACACCCCCCATGGCAAGGCAGCATCTCGCTGAGGGGCTATGAGCCACAGGGACCCCTCCTCACTTCCACCCCCTGATGCTGCAGCTCGCAGCGGGGTTATGTCCCAGCTGTGGGGCACG